ATGAAACCTGAGAGCTTTTTGACCCTGAGTAGACAACTGACACGTTCAAGGCCCAGTAAGGTAATAAGGACATCGTTAAAAAATAGTCCATGTGACATCAGTGGTTCAACTGTAATTTTATGAAGCTACGAGAATACTTTTTGTGCAGAAAGAAAACAAAAATACCAACTTTATTCAACAATTTCTTCTCTTCCGTGACAGTCTTTGACGTGCGTTCACGAGAGTAGCACAACACATGCGTGTGCATTCCTCTGCTTGTAATCAAGTCGCAGCGTATCTGAGTTCTATGTCAGAACGCCGGCTCCTGCGTGAGCAGCACCACACGCATTCGTTGTGCTATTCTCGTAAACGTGTGTCGAAACTGACACGAAAAAGAAGAAATTGTTGAATAAAGTCACTATTTTTGTTGTCTTTCCACACAAAAAGTATTCTCGTAGCTTCATAAAATTACGGGTGGCCTTCTGATGTCACATGGTCTATTTGAACTATGTCCTTACTACCTTTCTGGGCCTTAAACGTGGTAGTTGCGTTGCTGTCAAAAACATATTCACTTTTAACATAATCAAATTTTTGGCCACATATGATAGACAAATCTAACAAATACACTGGCTATTCCATTGCCTAGAGAACTAGTGAGATGAATTCAAAACACTATTAGAAAATTCTTTTGGCAATCGGGGATCATTTTGCAAGCCAATGTACAGTGAAATTCAACATTTCTGTTACACTACAGTAACTGATCTTGCAGTAAATGAAAAGCACTAGAAAAGAAAAGTTCAAAGAGATTAAATGTGAACTCGCTATGCAACAAAATACATTGTCAATTATGGTACAGTAAAATATAAATAAATAAATTCAGCATTCTCTGCATTACAGCATTAAAGTAATGACCATATTTGCCATACTATAGCAGTTTCTTAATCTTCTGACAAAAGACCTGCTACAGTATTTACTGAACATAGAATAGTGAAAGTTCTCTCATATAAAGTACTGCTGTGCTTTACTGTATACTGTATGTGTGGGTAGTATAAATACCCTGTAGATGACCAAGTAGGCCAAATTCCCTCATGGTCATTTCATGCACAAGAACATGGTCAACTAGTGCTTTGTATTTCATCAGGAGCAAATGTCTTTTGACTTTTGTCCTCTTCATATTTCCTCTTTGTCTCCCACCACTAGGGTTCATTTTCCAAAGCACATAATCACCTATGACCCTATGTATATTATCCTGCGATTCTGATTGGTGTGTCATCAGTTTTGCTGCTGAAAGTTTGCACATGGATACATGTGTGCTATTTGAGTTCACATTGTGATGACTTCAGTAACAGTTAATTATATTGTGTAAAATTTGGTCATTTTGTGTAGAGTTTTGCAGAAAACATTGAGAAAATTAGAATGTGTGGGGAAAAAAGTGAAAAGTGTTTATAGAATGAATGAATAAATGGTTTGGGAAATTGTGCCAACTGATTCCATTATAATGTGTTAGCAATCTAGAAAAACGGTAACATGTTTTGATATATGACAATTTTTTGAATCAATGCCATATCATAACAATTTCATGAATTCAAGTATTCAATGGATCACTGGCTGTGGCATTCAGCTTATAAAATACCGAATGTCTGATCACAAAACCTGAAGTGAAAATGGTGGGAAAAGGTTTTCTTCTAATTGCTAGACTGTAACTCTGAAAAATATTGAATGTTGATTAATGTTTGTGTCTTCAGCAGTTTTTTTAATGTAGTGATGGTCTCAGCTAATCAATTGGAGGTTGTCTCATTACGAGACTGTGAGTAGTGTAGACCTGCTCATTGGTTGAAGACCAGACGCAGTGCTACATTGTGGCTCGTCTGCAATAGCCTAGTCATGCTGTGTGAACACTGGCCAGAAGAGCATTGCTGTTGTCCAGCGTTCTAATGACATGATAGGAAGGAGCAGATTTTCCTGTTGCTGTTAAGCCCAAACCTGCATGACCAGATATTTTATTCTTTATTGTTTAGTGCTATAATATTAGACTCCAGTATAATATTATTTTAGTTTGATTACGAAGGTGTTATGTTTTTTACATTGTAACTATTTTCTCTTCATTGAATAGTTTAATAGCTACTTGCTCTTTGATTGCACTGCTATAAATTTTGAGGTAAGTACAGTTATGCTAATTATATGTGATTTAAATATCAAAAAATATATGCTATATGTAAAATATGTATTGTGGCTCTTGATCTTGCAGAGAACCTGATACATCATCTCTCATCCTCTTCATCATGCTGCTGCTTCTTCGTGTGCTGATGCTGTTGCTTCTCTCCGGTGGTTCGGCCAAAGTTGTGCAGAATTTTGAGATTGAATGTGGTTAATTTTTTGCAAATAGAAAATCGCCAAAGGGATTTAATGATTCACAATACAGGCAGATCTGCCAATCTCAAAATAATGTTTTTTATTATGCCACATTCTATGACACTAACAAGAAGATTCCCATGTACTCAGCCTACAAGTTTGAAGGACTAAAGAACTGCACAAGACTAAACGCGTGGTACATTGAACCTCAAGTAAGTGAAATATTACTCTAAATGGGTTCAAGTAATTGTACTATATTACAGTGTAGGGATTTTTATCGTTATTTTTTGGCTGGAGTCATTACAAATTTACTAGTTGCTATTTTTCCTTTTCCTACTATTTGCTATTTATCCTTTTAGACCTTGAAAATATTCACAGCTAACCTTTAAAGTAAAATAATAAAAAATATATTTATATATATATATATTTTTTAATATAATATTTTTCTCATTTGTATGCATGTGGCTCCCTGTGATGGAATACTTTGTGCAACCTCCTTTGATAACAGCTCAGTCTTCTTTTACACTGTCAAGTTTGAAGAAAACATAAATTACGATCTGAGATCTTTCCAACTAGATTCATCAGATTCTGAGGTCCACATGTTTCTACATTACATTCTTCAAAGTAATCCAAGATCATTCTGTATGAGTAACAAATAATGGGTTAAACAGCTTTGAGGAAACATGAGGATACTAAATCACAAAAAGGCTAATAAAATAAAAGAGAGATTGCTAATATTTTATATGTGAATATGGTACAAAGCTACATAGCAGAAGTAGCCATAAAGAAGGGTGGTAGTGATGAGTTTGTAATTAATTTTTCTGGGATAAAGAACAACGATAGATTTTGTCTAGAAGTGTTTGTATACTTATTTAAAACTTCAGCCTACAGAGTCTGCGTCACATATTAGTATGATTTTTTCTCCACTAAGGTGAACTGTCCTTAAGCTAATGTTTTCAATTGATTCACTATTACAGCTTGACGACAATAATGCACCCCCAAACATGAAACTAGAGAAAGATGTGAAAATACAAGGACTTGGAGACTATCAAGCTCTCAATGGAAACTATGAGAAGTCTGGCTATGACAGAGGTCATCTGGCACCAGTCTTCCAGGCAGAGTCACAGAGCTGTGCGGATACCACCTTCACTCTCACCAATGCTGCTCCACAAAACCCCTATTTTAATCGAGGTCAGTGGAGGGTACTAGAAAGAAACATTGCAAAAAATCTGTCTGATCAATGTCTTCCAAATAAGTATTCTGTTTACATTGTGACAGGGGTGGTACCTGGTACTAAAAACATAAGCAATAAAGTGAACGTGAAAGTGCCTAGTCATTTCTGGACTGCATACTGCTGCTTAGACAACAATAACAAATGTCAGATCTCAGGAGGGTTTATTGGAGTGAATGAGAACATCACTCCCAAAGACAAATCTGTGAAGGATTTAGAGACAGAGTTGGCAAAGCTTTATAATTTGACATCATTTAATTTGTTTGATAGATCTACAGAACCCCCAGCAAACAAAGCGAATCAGAAAACAATGAAAATAAGCTCTTTCAAAACAAAGCGCCAGTGAGCTATTGTCTGAAAGAGAAACTTTATCAAATGTTTTCTTTGGTGTTCTTGTTATTTCTGACTAAATGATTAGCTGAATCATAAAGAAAATCCTTAAGAACTCCAGTTTTAATTGTCTAATTATTTTAATTATTTAAATTATTAGATGTTTGACTGTAATTAATAATTGAAACAATTATAATGTGTATAAATGGAGTGCATCAAATATTACACCAATATGAAATAAATATTTTTTTTTTATTATTGAATTTTTATTTTTTTATTTTTTTTTTGACTCTTTATTGAACAGACATCCATTATTACATTTCCACTATGGCTAGCTAAGCCACCACTCTGACATGGATTGAATCACAATTGTGACCCTGGACCACAAAACCAGTATGTTTGTAGCAATAGCCAAAAATACATTGTATGGGTCAAAATTATCGATTTTTCTTTTATGCCAAAAATCATTAGAATATTAAGTAAAGATTACGTTCCATGCAGATATTTTGTAAATTTCCTACCATAAATATATCAAAACTTCATTTTTGATTAGTAATATGCATTGCTAAGAACTTCATTTGGACAAATTTAAAGGCGATTCTCTCAATATTTAGATTTTTTTGCACCCTCAGATTCCACATTTTCAAATAGTTATATCTCAGCCAAATATTGTCATATCATAACAAACCATACATCAATGGAAAGCTTATTTATTCAGCTTTTATATGATGTATAAATCTCAATTTCGAAAAATTGACACTTAAGACTGGTTTTGTGGTCCAAGGTCACAATTTACCCAAAGTTTAAGATCATTGTAAGATCATAAAGTTACATTATTACAAAAATTCCATTGAAAAAAAAATATATATGCCAGACACATGTAAAAACGTTTGCATTTGGTGTTTAGAAACTTGTCCCACTCAATCAGTCAATATGAGTTTAATTCAAAATTAATATATTTAAACTGAAATCATTCTAATTACATTTTAAAAATCACTGGAAACATGAATCACAAACTCAATATCTGATGTTGATTTGATTTTCCTGGTCAGGTGACAGAAAACTTAAGGAAAAAAACCTAGCTTAAGAAAAAGAGGTTTTTAACGGGATGGCGAACAGCAGTGTGAGTAAAATAACATGCCCCACATTTAAGTCCAAAGTCTGGACACATGTCGGCTTTTATACCATTGATGCGACAAACAAAATTGACAAAGAGTAAGCGATATGCGAGAACTGCAGTATTTGCATGTGCTTTGAAGCCTTGTAGGTTAAACATTTCATTCACGTGCTGTTCTGACATGCACTTTTTCAGAGCGCATACACCTGAAGCGCACACACACTAAAAAGCCTGTCAAACAGCGCCTGATTACTGGACTAAGTTGTCTTTCGCATCTGATTGCGCCAATACTGTCAAAACACACATGGTTCACATAAACAAGGTTATGTCTAAAGTGAAAGTAAACAGTAAACAAGTCTTAAAGTGACAGCAGTCTAATACTACACATGCTGCCGATTGTCATTAAAGGGATAGCTCACCCAAAAATGTAATTTCTTAAGACTGGTTTTGTGGTCCAGGGTCACATATCGATTATCGCAGAATCATGCATTATCCGTATCGTGAGCAATGTATCGCGATTCACGTTGTGAGGTACCCTGTGATCCCCACCCCTAATATATATATATATATATATATATATATACACACATTAGGGCTGTCAGTCGATTAAATTACATTTGGCTGTGAAAATATCCCCAAAAGATTATTTAAAGTTATTTTTGTGTTAAATGGGAAAATATTAAGTAGACATTACAAATAGTATCTTTAGAAAGAAATGTGCACATAAATGTTTAGGCTACAACGGCCTAACATAAACTATAGAACATAAAAGAAGATAATTTGAGAAACATCTCTTTTTTTTTTTCATTCATGCAATGGAAGTCAAGTTTTTTTGCCCTTAATAATACTCTAAACAAGAAACTAAAACTGCAATCAGGTGGCAGTAAATGTCTTTATGAGTCTTTTATTCATTATTAATTCGAACGGCTGATTCATTCAGGAATTCAGTAAACGGCTCTCTTTATGAATGGGCCTTTGAATCATTGGTTCACACGATTCGTTCAAAACGCGGATTCTTTTGGAAACTACACACCGCTGTGTTGCTCACAGAAGCACAACAATTCTGCTGTGGCTTTATAGGTAATATTTCTGTTGGCAAAACTGAGCAAAAAATACAATATTGTGTTTAAAATGTAACACAACATTATCTTCTTATTTACTGAACTGCATGATAAAATCACATATATTCACATATATGTAAATGTAAAATCACATATATATATATATATAAAATCACACACACAGTAATCACCAGTATGTGTCAGCAGAGTTTACGTGGCATGGAAATACTTCAGTGAATTGTATCTGTTGTTTCATATATGGATTTTAGTGAATTTCTGGGAGATTTCTAGTTTTTAACCTGTCATGTATTTAAAGAAATTGATAAAGCATTACTGTAATTCTGAATTTCTTTGTTCTGACTTAATTAACTCACTAAACCTGTTTTCCTTGTTTTGAAATTGTGTACAACACTTAAACTCTTGAAAATGTTTGATTGATTTTGTTGAATTGAACTGGTCTCTGACATGAACTTAAAGCTTCAACAAAACCTACAAACACTTCTTCAAAAAAATGTTTTGCCTTTTTTCTTTTTACACTTTTATTGACAGAAACATTGCAGAAAGTACATGTAAATGATGGGATGAGGAGAAAGTTGTTGGGAACCACAACTCGTCCCCAACACAAGCACTGCATGAACAAACTCTTTACCAGGTTGAAATGTCATCTTTGTATTCAAATGAACCCCAAACCTTAAAAATAAAGCATCCATAAATAAATTTTCTGTTTTTGAATCAAAGATTTGATTTATGGTAAATGATACATGATAGTGTATAAGTGACAGCAGTCTAATAATGCTGCCGGTTGTCATTAAAGGGATAGTTCACCCAAAAATCAAAGATGTTGGCTTCATGTTTTAGCCATACAGTTTTAGTGTATTTAAAGTAAACACTAAATATCATATAATTTGTGAATATGTCAAGAATTCATTAAATCAGTGATTGTGGAATTATGCTCATAAAATATGCAATGTCTGATTGTGCGAAAAAAGGAAGTCAACGGGTTTTTCCACAGAAAAAGTCATTAAAAATACCCACTCTGTTCAGTTTTTTCTCTTCCTTTTTTAATTACTGAGAAGCAGTGTTCTGCACTGGTTCTGGGAATGAAAACAAAATATGAAAAAAAAAAAAACATTTTCACTGAAACATGAATGAAAATGAAATCAATTTAACCTTTACTTCATGAGATCCATCAAGAGTATATCACCAGATACAGTATAAGGAGGAGACAAATAACTCAAAACACAACACTCAATATATGGCAGCCTGTCAGGAGCATCATCTTGATCTTTTTGCTCCAGAATGTTGTTTATGCACATGATCTGGAAAAAACAGAAAACGTTCAGCCTGTCATTGAAAGCTAAGCTTGGAAAACACCTTTGAAGAATTTTGTCTTTCCTCATTCAAGCAGACAGGACCTATACTTGCATGACTAGAAAATAGTTTGGTTTCACCGAAAATATTCGGTGAAACCAAAATGATCACCGAGTCTTTCGACTGTTATCTTTCAGTTTTTATAAGCAAACACATGCTTATTAAGTGGACCTTTGTTTAAATGTAATGTAGCCGTATAGGGAGATATGTGGTGGATCAGGTTTGTGTGCTTCTGCTCATAGTACATTTCGTTAAAAGGGTTCATATTGCATGTTGACTGACAAAGCAGGAGAAATACTCGCTCATCTCACTGCAACTGCAGTGTTTCCTTGCCTTTGGTGTCGGTATGTACTGTAATATTTGTAGAGCTGACTTTGGCCATTGACATTTTATTCTTGATTATTTGTTGAGTATCTAATAGTAGACTTTACTTACGGAAGATGTTTTGTATCGTTTCTTACATTCTTGCATTATCTTCTCTTCATTGATAATAGCTTGATCTTTGACTTCTACTGCTATAAATGTGTAATGGTAATTTTTTATTTGTTTTTCAAATGTTATAAGTTGTTTTAAAAAATGATCACATGGTTATTGTTCCTGCAGAGAACTTGCATTTTTGCAAATGAAAAACCACCAACGAGATTTGCTGGGGAACAATACAGGCAGATCTGCCAAATGCAAAATTATGTTGATTATTATGCCACATTTTATGACACTGACAAGAGGATTCCCCTATACTCAGCCTACAAGTTTAAAGAGATCAAGAACTGCACAAGACTAAACAACTGGTACATTGAACCACAAGTAAGTGAAATATTACTCTAAATTACTTCTGGTATCACGTTATTTATTATTTAAATTTTATATTAGGTGGTTGTAAGGATGCTTTTTTTTAAATATTTTTTAATCTTTTGGTGTGGATGGAGTCATCTCAGATCTACTATTACTATTAATGAACTGTTAATATTAATAATAATAAAAAACATCTCAGCAGAAAAAAAATCAACTTATATTTATTTAACAGCAAAATATCACAAATATATATATGTTTTCAAGTAGACCATTTAACCAAAAGTATTTTGTTGGATATCACATAATATATCAACAGATAAACTGTTGAAGACAAAAAGAATTAAGACACTTCACTATGTTAACCTTCAGAGAAACATGTTCATGTTAAAGTGATGAACTACACCTGCGGATGAATAAAGCAAACATGGCTCTGAAAAGTATAGTTAATTCTAAAAAAAGGTTAATTTAGGTTGATGCCTCAACAGTAAATAATAGCAAAACAGGCTATAGCAAAATGTCTTTGCTGCTCATCCTCTTAGTATTTTACTCAAAATATTCACATATAACCTTTAAATCTAAAAAATATATATACTTTTTTTCTCATATACTGTGCCACACTTATTGGCACCCTATCATGTAATATGTTGTGCAACCTCCTTTTGCTGTGATAACAGCTCTAAGTCTTCTCTTAAATTGTGTAATAAGTTGTGTAAGAAAACTAAAAATGATTTGACATCATTCTAACATGCAGAATATCTTAAGATCATCTTTAGCAAAATGGGATAAACATATTCTTCAAAATAAGGGATGTAACAGAGGGAAATAATCCATGTGCAGTTTATTAAAAAAAATGGTAAACCAGATACTAAACAAACAAAATTAAAACTTGACATCAACATGAGCACTAGAACTTGAACTGGACTTAAACATGAGAACTTGACTAGAACAGACTTGAAAAGTGAACCAATGACAAGACAGAACTGAGAACCACCTGACAAGGCAACAAACCAATGAAAGCACTTGAAGCAAAAAAAGCGCATGATAAGATCACATGAGCACAGACACTACTAGACTTAGACTATGGACACAACTTCAAAATAAAAGTTCATAAAAACATGAACAAAACCTAAAACAGATGGGACAAATGTATGTGTGGTAAATTACAAAGTTGAATAGCAGAAGGAGCCGTATGGAAAGGTGGTAGTGATTAATGTGTCTAATTAGAATGAAAAACAACAATAGATTTGGTCTAAAGTGTTTGCCGTTCGTACCTTAAACTTCATCTGATAGAGTGGATGTCACATAATTAGCATGATTTTGCTTCTCCTTTAACATGAACTGTCTTTAAGCTCATGTTTTCAATTGTTTCACTATTGCAGCTTGATGATGATAATGGATCACCAAACATGCAATTCGAGAATGAGAAAATACAAGGACTTGGAGTGCATCAAGCTCTTGATGAAGACTACAGGAACTCTGGCTATGACAGAGGTCATCTGGCACCAGTCTTCCAGGCAGAGTCACAGAGCTGTGCAGATGCCACCTTCACTCTCACCAATGCTGCTCCACAAAACCCCTCTTTTAATCGAGGTCAGTGGAGGGTACTAGAAAGAAATATCACAATATTTCTGCAGAGTGAATGTAAATTATATACTGTTTACATTGTGACAGGGGTGGTACCAGGTACTAAAAACATAAGTGATAGAGTGAAAGTGCCTAGTCATTTCTGGACTGCATTCTGCTGCTTAGACAACAATAAGAAATGTCAGATCTCAAGAGGGTTTATTGGAGTGAATGAGAACATTATTCCCAAAAACGAAACTGTGAAGGATTTAGAAAAAGAGTTAGAAAACCTTTATAAAGTCAAATCTTTTAAATTGTTTGATAACTCTACAGAACCCCCAGCAAAGGAAAAGAAATCCAAAAAATAAAAATACTCGATCAAAATGAAGCTTTATTGAGCTGTTGTCTTAAAATAGCTCAGTTAAGCTTTGTTATGAGAAACTTTATCAAATGTTTTTTTTATTCTGTCTGACTACATGTTAATAGTTATTCACTGAATAAAAAATCCTTAAAAACACAAGTTTTAATACTCCAATTCATATAATTCCTATATATGTTTGACTGTAATGAATAATCAAAACAATTTGAATGTGTATAAATAAAGTGCATCATCTATTAAACTAATATTGAACAAAGATTGTTTTGTTTTTTTGACTGAAAAAGATTAGCCTTTTTGCCTCTTTATTGGACAGACATCAAGAAGATTTAAACTCATGTTGTGCACATTTAAAGGAGACATATTATGCCCTTTTATACAATATGTAATATAAGTCTCTGGTGTCCCCAGAATGTGTCTGTGAAGTTTCAGCTCAAAATACTCCACAG